GTTGCATGTAAATCTCCTCCTCTAGGTCACTATGGAGGAAAACAGTTTTGACATCTAACTGCTCAAAGTGCAACCTCTCTGCTACAACTATGCTAAGAACTGAGCGAATAATACTCAGTTTCACAACCAGAGAAAAAATGTATGTGTAGTCAATGCCTTACTTTTGCTGAAAGCCTTTGACCACCATTCTCGCTTTGTATCTCTTGGAACCATCATGTTCCTCTTTCACCCTGTACACCCATTTGCTGTGAAGAGCTTTTTTCCCTATGGGTAACTTGGCTAGTTCCCATGTTTTGTTAGAGATAAGGAACTTCATCTTATCTTCCATTACAAGCTCCCACTTGTTAGCATCTTCAACCTGGCATGCTTCATCATAGCATTCAAGCTCACCATCATCAGTGAGCAACATATAATCTAAATATTTCCTATTCCGTACATGAGGTCACGTGGACCTTTTGGGTGTAGGCTTAGGAGTTAGAATCTGCGGTAAAATTTGCTCTGTGAGTTCTGGCCAAGAACCCTTATCTATCTGCTCCACATCAATGCTCTCTGGATCATCATCTAACTCAACAAACTCAGGCTTACGCTGTATCGGATTAGTTAACTGTGCTGCATCTCTATCCTTGTACATCACCTTCTTGTTGAAAATCACATCCCTACTTCTAATAATTTTCTTGTTCTGATTATCTCAGAGTCCATAACCAAACTCATCTCCGCCATACTCAACGAAGATGCATTTTAGTGACTTGGGGTCGAGCTTTCCCCTAGCATGGTCACTAATATGCGCATATGTAATATAACCAAAAAATTTTAACCATGAAAGATTTACCTCTTTGCCACTCCATACATCTTCTGGTATTCGATGCTTCAAAGGTACCGATGGTCCACGATTAATTAGGTAGGCTGCTGTATTGACTGTTTTTACCCAAAACTATTTGGGTAGACCTGAATGTATGCACATGTTTTTGGCTCTCGCCGTCAATGTTCGATTCATCCGTTCTACCACCCCATTCTGATGTGGTGTCCCTTGTACAGTCCTCTTGAATCTGATCCCATTATCAAAACAGAACTTCTTGAATTTGGTGTCTTCATATTCACTACCATTGTCTGACCTTAACCTCTTGATCTTCAAACCTGCCTCATTCTTCACCGTGGCTTTCCACTTCTTGAACACATCAAATACCTCAAATTTGTGCTTTAAAAAATAAATCCATACCTTCCTCGTGTGGTCATCAATGAAAGTCATGAAGTAGGATTTTCCACCAATGGATGAGACAGTGGCTAGCCCCTAAATATTTGTGTGAACTAGCTCAAGTTTCTCCTTTATGAGATCTCTACCACTCTTCTTGAAACTGACCCTCTTCTGCTTGCCTATCACGCAACCCTCACAGAAGTCAATATCAATTTCCCGTATACCTGGTAGATTCCCCTTTGAGTGCATAATCTTGAGCCCCCTTTCACTTATATGACCTAGTCTCTGGTGCCAAATGTTATGATCTTCTCTGTTTTTTGCAACTACTATAGACCCACAAGCACTGGTAGTTATGTAGAGAGTGTCAGATTTCTTACCACGTGCAATGGTCATAGCGCCTCTGGAAATTTTCCATGGGTCTCCATTGAAGGTTGTAGCAAAATCTTCCTTTGACAATTGTCCCACCGAAATCAAATTCTTCCTCAAGTCAGGGATGTGTCTCACATCCTTCAACTTCCAAGCTGATCCATTCAACTTGATTTGCACTTCACCCTTGCCAACGACGTTGCAAGGTTGATCATCATCAAGATACACCTTGCCAAGGTTACTCGATTTATAACTATTAAATAGTTCTTTGCTTGAGGTGCCATAAAACGATGCACCAGAATCTAAAACCCATGACTCCGCCTTACTCTCCAAAGAGCATATCAATGCATCATCTAATTCTTCTGAGACAACGTTTGCTTTAGTTTTTCTTTCGGTTCCCTTCTTTAGAAGTCTGCAATCAACACGGTAATGTCCCTTCTTTCCATAATTCCAACACTGAACGTCACTGAGATCTGTTGAATTCCTGAAATTTTGAGACTATATCCTTCCATTCCTTGACTTGGATCTACCTCTGTTTCTATTACCGTTGCCCTTCTTCTTGTTTGAACCCTTGCCTCTGCTTTCAACATTCAATGCTGAACCACTAGTTGAAACCCCTGCTGTTTGTTTTGTAATTTATTCAGTCAGAATCATGCTCACAACTTCATCAAACTTCAACTTGGTCTTCCCTGCAGAGCTACTAATCACTGTAACTGTGCCACTCCAACTCTTAGGTAACTGCCCTAGAATTAGCAATGCTCGGACTTCGTCTTTGAAGTCGATATCAACAGACTCTAATTGCCCAACTATCTCGTTGAACGCATTTAGATGTTTATTGAACTTACTCACCACAACTTTTATATAACATATGTCAACAAGTTCATAAATACAACATCACATAATTTCATTTTCTACACTACTATAATGAATTACCATTAATGAAACTTTTTTCAAACATGTGGCATATGTTGCCATAACAAATACATCATAATTCAAGCTTAAATTAGATATGCAAACAATTGGTGGTAAACATAATTTGAACTTCACATCACAACTTTTTTATAACATATGACAACAGTTTCATAAATACAACATCACATATTTCACCTAACATATTCACATAAAATTTACATCTACATTACTATAATGCTTTACCATTAATGCAACCATTTTCTAACATGTGCTATATGTTAACAGATCAAATTCATATAACAAACTTTAACTATACATTAGATATCAACATAATTGGTGTCAACATAATTTCACTTTCTCACTACAACTTTTATATAACATATGTCAACAAATTCAAAAATACAACATCACATATTTGACCTAACATATCCATTACAAATTTACTTAGACACTACTATAATGTATTGCCATTAATGCATTTTTTTTCTAACATGTGGCATATGTTGCCATAACAAATACATCTAACATAATTCAAATTTAAATTAGATATGCAAACAATTTCTACCAAACATAATTTTACCTTCACAGCACAACTTTTTTATAACATATGTCAACAATTTTATAAATACAACATCATATTTTCACCTAACATATCCACATAAAATTTACTTGTACACTACAACTGTACACTTCATATGAAAAGAATTGTTAAAATACATATTTTGATCTTCACAACACAACTTTTCTATAATATATGTCCACACTTTCATAAATACAAAATCACATCTTTCAATATTCGGGATATACAAAAACTATTCTACAATCATAATGAAAAGTAATAAAGTTTAGGATTGAACAAGGCTAAAATAGATAAATATGGACATAACATTGGCACAAAAATAAGCTTCAAAATGGTATATGCATATACAATTGTAAACTTTTATTATAACTGATGGCTAATAGAGTTCATTCACAAATAAAGTTATTTCACAAAGGTTAAAATAGATAAATATGAACATATCATAGGCACAAGAATAAGCTTCAAAATCTGGTATGTGCATATACAATCGTAAAAAAATTTCATTCACAAATGAAGTTATTTCACAAAGGCTAAAACAGATAAATATGAACATATCATAGGCACAAGAACAAGCTTCAAAATCTGGTATATGCATATACATTCTTTGTTGAGTGATGACTAATAGGGTTCATTCAGAAATAGAGAACAAGGGTAAAACAGATAAATAGGGACATAAAATACGCACAAGAGCAAACTTCCCAATTCTCGGGTTGCCTAGAGAACAAGGGTAAAACAGATAAATAGGAATATAAAATACGCATAAGAACAAGCTTCCCAATTTTCGGGTTGCCTGAAAATAAGATTAATTCGTGTTCATCAGGACTAATAACCCAGCTTTTAGATTTCTGGATTACCAATAATCACCACCGGATTTGATATATCATTATGAATAAAGTTGCAAGAAATTCAAAATAATAACCTAATACTTATAATGATCAGAGCTTCAGCTTCTCGCCGGACTAGTTGACTAAAGCTTCAGCTTCCTACCGAAATGGATGATCAGAGCTTCAGCTTCCTACCGAAATGGATGATCAGAGCTTCAGCTAGCTTCAGCTTCCTACCGAAATGGATGATCGGAGCTTCAACTTCTCGTCGGAAGCCCTGATCGGAACTGCAGCTTGTGGCCGGAATGTATGGTGATTTTTCCGAACGGAGCTTCTGAACAGGGACCTTCTCTTCACAAATTTTTCCCTTTATGCGTCTAATGTATTGGTTGCCTTCTTGGTCGGTTTCCATTTCCAGAGTTGTGAAACATTTGCATTGCAGAGCAGAGGCATAGGGCAGAGGCATATATCAGTTTATATATATGTATCAGTTTTGGGGGCAATCTTTATTTTGGTTTTGGGGGGAATTTTAAGTTGAAAATGAAATACACTTATACGTATTATGAGAAGATTCGGATCTACAAAGCAGCTCAAGGCTACCAAAACGACGTACAGAAAGGTATGTGTTAAACAATAGTGAAATCTCATTTCACCAGCTTTGCCACATCAGCGCAGGGCCCACGACTGGACCGAATCCAGTGAGATACGAATGGAGAGGATTTTCTTCCTTTCTCGGTGGACCGCCAAGAAATGATATAATTTAATTTTGAACATCATAGATATTCGGGTAGAATCTGGGAAAATCCAAATTAAAAGCAAAGAACTACACTAACAAATAGAGATCTAATCCAATAAAATAATAAAAGTGTACCACTAGTGCTAATAATTCAAATGAATCAATCCCCAATGTTATCGAAGTAAAACTGAACTTAGACGCAAAGAATAAAATAAGAGGAAATCCTTTTTTTGCAATAAAAGTACCTCGTTGACCTCAAACAGTGTGTCAAGTCCAGTTAAAAAAAAAAAAAAAAAAACAAAGCACAAACTACAAAGAATATGTAAATGAGAGTCCACAGATTAAACATACACAAAACCAGGAAAAAAAATTAAAAAAGTAAAAAAGAAAAAAGAAAAAGGAAAAATTAATAACTTTCAACAATAGAAGTTCAAACCCATCTTTAAAAATAAAATAAAATAAATGCATAATAAAGGCTTGGCATATATATCACTTGCACTTCAAATTCTCTATGGCTTTTGTCTTTGTATTCACATCCATGGTACAATTCATCCGCGCAGACTTCTTCTTCTTGATGATCTTAAACAGATGTATCTTCCCACTCAGCGTGGCTTGGCTGGTCAGAGTCAGCTTCCCAGAATTCATATCACTACCCAACTGTGATTTCATGGATACCTTCGCAGAACTCAAATTCATCGTAACGTTGATCTTCTTTGTCGAGCGAGCCTTAGCGCGAGCATTCCCGATAAGGACTTCACCCACTGGAGATCCTCTGTAGGAGATGGTGGCAACGCTGTCCTGGAACTTGAAATGGCCGAAGTTGGTGTTCTTGACTGTAACTTGTGCATGAAGTTTCATGCTGAAGGAAGAAGACGACGACGAGGAGTTAGCGGAGAGGGTTTCGACCGTGATATCCCCAAACCGGACTTTAGGGTTCCGGATACGCATCACAGTGAGTACAAACAACAAGATAATCGCCGTCTGAAGTATGACACCGGCAACAATATAACACAAACACTTCTTCGTGCTTCTCTTCTTGCGCTGCGATGCAGGTGAATCTTTATTTCTGTTCATCTTGTTAGGGCTAGCTTCTTGAATGAAATTGGAGATATCTCTATATATATGTGTGTGTGTGAGAGTGTGTGTATGGATGTTGTTTGTGGTTAGAGAAGGTGTGGAGGGTTATGAATAAGGTGTGTATAGTTATATAATGATATTGTTTATTCCATTTTGTGATGGTGGGCCTACAAATGCTTTGTTTCTTTATCTTTTGCTGCCCTAAAAATGTTCCAAACTTGTTTTGAAGATATTTAGCCGTTGTGATATAAAGTAAATAAAAAGATTCCAAATAATATAAGAAGCCTCTTTGGTTGAAAATGGAAGCAAATGAGTTGGCAAATGCTTGGTAGACCCGGCCAGGATTGATGATTCTACAGACCATAAGGAGGAGTATGATCAAAGACAGTTTATACATGTTAGATATATGAATACAAATATATGTTTAATTTAATGTGAGTGGCTCATTGTTATTTTTATTTGATCATTACCCATGAGTCATGATTCAATAACATGTCCCTTTCCTCCTCCTTTTTTTATTATTATTATTATTTTGTCCAATAAGATTTATTTACGGAAAAAAATAGCTCATTGTTATTTTTATTTAATTTTGTATAGTAATTTCAATTCTTTATACATCTTATCTTAAAGAAATGTACCTAACATGTTAGATATGTGAATACAAAATTGCAAGTAGTTATGTTTGTAAAGAATAGTAATAAATAGTATCATGAGATATACATGCATGCATGTTGTCTTAAAGAAATGTACGATACATGAATGTTGAGATCAATTATATATATGATCCTGAATAATACGACAAAAACTACAAAATCAACATATATGTCAAGTGATAACAATAAATGGAGTTTAATTATTATTCATGTTGTATTTAATTTTTTGTTTTCCTTTTGATTGGAAATTATTAAATTTATATTGATTGTTGCTATGTGATATATTTGTTCATGTAAAGAATATATGAAGTCAGGGACGAATTAATTTAATGTCGAGGCTGTTCCGAGTCATGATTCAAGAGTCTGATGTGTTGAGTGAGTTTGTGGACTGAGTTTGATTTCAGATCATTAAAACACCTAACTACATTCCCATTTGCAGATTGACTTTCAAAAGAGAGAGAGATGTTGATTTTGAACTGATATTTGGAATATTTCACGAAGAAGGCATGAATAGAGAAAAGTTTACTACTTTAGCAAGTTTGACATATTCGAAAGTGTATCAAGACAAGTTTGCCGTGAAGAAGCTAGGGACAGAACTCACCTTCACTTTTGTGCATGTTACATTATATACACACACACACACACACACACATATATATATATATTATACAATTTGAATCATCCAGTTGCAATTATTTTTGTCCCTAGGGACCACATTGACTCATATCACATGTGATGTATAAGACCCTTTCAGCACATTACATAGCATAATTGAATTATATATATATATATTTATATATAGATAAAGAGAATCAGTGATTGAATTATATAGTCTCCTGGGGCGACGGGCTGTTAGAGAGGGTACCACCACTATTATCGCACTTGATGCTACATGAAATCAATAAGTTATCCAAATGGGACCAAATGAATGCACACAAACCTAAAAATTAAAATTAATATATAGTTTTCACATACTAGCTCAAATGACTATGCCTTTTTGAAAATACTCTTCTTAAAATTTTCAGTTAAGATTATAGAAATATAACGTAGGAAAGGTAAATTATTTTTGTGGATTATTTTCGTGCTAAAATAAAAAAGAAGAAAAAAGGAATGGATTATTCTCAGAGATCCAAAACGTCCCGATTACGTGTTGTTTCAACAACTGAATTAATTAACAAGAAGATATCTAAGACATGTGAAAGTGATTGGTGGTTGTTTGAGAGTGAAGCATGTGCTGGAAAAGGTATAATATTATGTGGACAGTGCTGATACATTTCTCTTCCTAGAAGCTATCGGAGGAAGGGTCCTTTAAATTTGACTAGGAATAAAGACACCAAGAATCATTATCCCCATCCTCCTTTCGATCTAATCTTTACTTCTCTTGAGTGAGGGCCACCACTCTTGCAAGTTGCAGTTGGTTACGTCACACGATGCATCCAATTTCGAATTAGACTTCATGTATTTATATCATAGTACGAGGAACCGGACAAGCCGGACAAGCCACGTATTGTTCAATTCGTGATAATTTTTTAAGAGTCCGATATTACTACATATCTTCTTGAAAGAGTCGATTAATATCGTGACTGCGAACCATGTATACAAATACACACAAACATACCCAAGTGCATAATTCTCAAAAATAAAATACTCCTATCCCAAAAAAAAAAAAACTTGTTATGTTATGCGAATTTTTAACTCACAAAAAGTGTCACAGTTCCACTTGTGAGTCACACTGCTTAAAACATTTTTTTTTTAAGACAAAAAGAGTAATATAAATATCAAGTAGATGGTCTTTGATAATGGAGCACAAATTTAAAATTTACTTGCATTGAAAAAGAAGTGCAGTTCTAAAGATAAGACGTGAACAACAGAGCATCGCAGACATTCTATCAGAATTGGGGCTACAAATAAACTGAACTATTGTAAACAACTCGAGATCAGACTGACATGAACTAGTTCATGTTTATTTATCTAATAAATGAACCTAGCTCAAATGCAATTAGATTAGCCCACATATGCAAAGCCAACTTTCTTGAAATTCAGAGAACGAATATGAGACTTCAAAATTCTTATTCGATATTATTCATGATGGTATTACATTCAATTTATAGAGTAATATCTAGCTAAAATAGATAACTAAATATACAATAATCGGAAAACTAATTACCTACCAATTAGGCCTAAATCAATGAGAAAATAATTCAATCCTACAGCTGTACAATAGGTAAAATCTCAACACTCCCTCTCAAGTTGGTGCATAGATGTCACACATGCCCAACTTGTCTAAAATTTTTGAAAACACTTGATTTGAGACTGCTTTGGTAAGAATGTCGACTAGTTGATCCTCAGATCGAACTTTAGGCAACTCCACAATTTTTCAATCCAACTTCTCCTTAATGAAGAATTTGTCTATTTAGACATGCTTTGTACGATCATGTTGAATTAGATTATGGGCAATATCACATGCTGCTTTATTGTCGCAATATAATCGAATCGGTTGCCCAGGTAGATAACCCAAATCCCGCAAGAGAAGTCTTAACCACAAAGTTTCACAAAGTCTAAGTGCCATACCTCTGAATTCAGCTTCTGCACTCGAGCGAGCAACAACATGTTGTTTCTTGCTTCTCCATGTAACAAGATTACCTCCCACAAAAGTGAAGTAACCAGAAGTAGATCGCCTATCATTTATAGCTCCAGCCCAGTCAGTATCAGTATATGCATCTATGTTTTGACAACCAGCATTTTTAGTGAACAAAATTCCTTTTCCAGGAGCAGATTTCAAATACTTCAGAATGCGCATAACTGCATTCATATGTTGCTATCTAGGATCATGCATAAACTGGCTAATAATGCTCAATGCATAAGCCAAATCTGGTCTCGTGTGTGCTAAGTACATCAATCTCCCTACAAGTCTTTGGTATCTTCCTTTATTAGTAAGTACTTGATTGGACTCAACACATAACTTCAGTCCTTCTTCCACTGGTGTCTCAGCTGGTTGACATGCTGTCATGCCAGTCTCTTGTAATAGATCTAAGGCATATTTTCTTTGAGATAGAAAGATTCCTTTATTCAATCGAGCTACTTCAATCCCAAGAAAATATCTCAAAGAACCTAGATCTTTCATTTCGAATTCTCTGGACAAGTACTTCTTGAGAGCCTTCATTTCTTCAGGATCATTTCCTGTAACCACCATGTCATCTATATATTCAATGAGTGCAATGATCTTAACATGTTGTTTCTTCAGAAATGACGTGTGGTCTGAATTGCTTTGACAGTAGCCAAAGGATATCATAGACTTTGTGAATCTTCCAAACCATGCTCTTGGAGATTGTTTCAACCCATATAATGATTTCTTTAACCTGCAGACCTTCCGACTATACTTTCCGGGTATCATACATCCTGATGGGAGATCCATGTAGACTTCTTCAGATAATTCACCATGCAGAAAGGCATTCTTCACATCGAATTGTTGCAATGGCCAATTCAAGTTCGCAGCTGAAGACAACAAGACCTGAACTGTGTTGATTTTGGCTACAGGTGCGAACGACTTTGTGTAATCGATTCCATAGGTTTGGGTGTAACCTTTCGCCACCAATCTTGCTTTAAAGCGTTCAACTGTGCTATCGGCTTTATACTTCATAGTGTAAATCCATCGACATCCAACTGGTTTCTTTCCTGGTGGAGGATCAATGAGTTCCCAACTTTTATTTTTCTATAAGGATTTCATCTCCTCGTTCATAGCTGCTTTCCACCTAGGGTCAGCTAAGGCTTCCTGCACACTGTTAGGAATAGATACAATAGATAATTGATTTACAAATGACAAATTTGATTCTGACAAACGATGGTTCGACACATAATTGTTCATGGGATACTTAACTTTACTAGAAAGTTCGGGTTCATATGTGGGTTTAGGAATACCTCTAGTGTGACGCGGTGGTAATTGTTTTCTGAGTGGCTCAGGCATTAAATCAGGAACATCCTCAGCAGGCGATTGGTTTGATATGTCAGTTGCGAGGGACTCGAACTCGGACAACGATGGGTTTGGCGCCATACTTTCCATTGGGGTTGGCGCCATACTTCCCATTTCTGGGCGTTCATCACTACTTTGATCCAAACTTATACCACTTGAATCCAATTCGCCCGATTCCTGATTGGTTGGTCCAACTTGTGAGTCATTAACACTAGAATCACCATCCTAAAAAATGTGATAATCATAATCTAGAGTCTGAATTTCGTTCTAGTACTCCCCCTGAAGTTCAGACGCAGAGGAAAAATACATCGAGTCTTCATGGAAGACAACATCCATTGTGATATACATTCGTCGAGTTGGAGGGTGATAACAGCGATACCCCTTTTGATGAGTAGCATATCCGAGAAAAACACATCGCAATGCTCGAGGTGTTAGCTTGTTGCGTTGATGCTTATGAAGGTATACAAATGCTACACAACCAAAGACA